AAAAAACGACCATGTATAGTAAGGCGTTTTGAGCCGCAAAAAACGACCATGTATAGTAAGCCGTTTTTAGCTGAAAAAAACGACCATGTATAGTAAGGCGTTTTAACCCGAAAAAACGACCATGTATAGTAAGGCGTTTTGAGCCGCAAAAAACGACCATGTATAGTAAGCCGTTTTTAGCTGAAAAAAACGACCATGTATAGTAAGGCGTTTTAACCCGAAAAAACGACCATGTATAGTAAGGCATTTTAACCCGAAAAAAACAACCATGTATAGTAAGCCGTTTTTAGCTGAAAAAAACGACCATGTATCGTCAGGCATTTTTGGACGAAAAAAACGACCATGTATAGTAAGGCGTTTTTACCGGAAAAAAACGACCATGTCTAGTAAGGCGTTTTTAGCCCAAAAAAACGACCATGTATAGTAAGGCGTTTTTAGCTGAAAAAAAACAACCATGTATAGTAAGGCGTTTTAGCCGAAAAAAACAACTATGTATAGTAAGGCGTTTTTCGACGAAAAAAACGACCATGTATAGTAAGGCGTTTTTCGACGAAAACAACGACCATGTATAGTAAGGAATTTTGAGACGAAAAAAACGACCATGTATAGTAAGGCGTTTTTAGCCGAAAAAAACCCACCATGTATAGTTAGCCATTTTCAGATGAAAAAAAACGACCACGTATAGGAAGGCGCTTTTAGCCGAAAAAAACGACCATGTATAGTCAGGCGTTTTAACTTGAAAAAAACGACCATGTATAGTAAGGCGTTTTTAGCTGAAAAAAAACAACCATGTACAGTAAGGCGTTTTTAGCAGAAAAAAACGACCATGTATAGAAGTCATGGAACTTCCTACGGTCACACTTTTATGTACGGGCGCTGTTTTTTGGACTTCTCCCATCGTACTTATTTATTTTCGTATTTCCAAGTTCGATTGAAAGACGCCAGATATTGTTGACAGGGGATTGTTCTTGCATCGCTAAAAAGAATCCAGTCGTGGCCTTGAAGGTTTACCCCGATCTTATGAGATCATTTCATCAACGGACAAGCTTTCCTGGCTTTGCCTTTGAAGGCCACCCGCCGACGCGGACACGTTACTTGCCGATAAAACACGGGTACGCTGCCAAAGCGCCAGGCGAAAACCACAGCTACCGTTGACGATTGCCAATTTAGACTTTTCCCGGAAAGCACAGGTTAAAAAGGTTACAGCCTTTGTTCATCGGTGTTTTCAATTGGGACTTCAGATCAACGTGTGGTCGCGGTCTCTGTCATCACTCGAATCTCACCCCTAATCCACCCGGCGCATTGACTGACAAAACGGGCAGCTGCCACTGAATCTAAAATGCCTCTGCCTTTGCACTGCTGCGGAATATGTTCCATAGGCTTGAGCCAAGAATGGGAATGAATAAAAAAAAGGACTCGGTCCAAGTGCGGACCGCCGTGCGGAACTGTTCGCGTAAGGCTGAATGTGAGGCTGGCTTTGTCGAGCGCCTTGGGCGCGCCATATGCTGGAGAGAAAGCTTTATATACTCCAAGTGCACCCGACAACCACACAGGACATCCAACAAATACTGTGTATGTGTGTGTATGTGTTTGTGTGTGTGTGTGTGTGTGTGTGTGTGTGTGTGTGTTTATATATATATATATATAGCCGTGTGTGTGTGTGTGTGTGTGTGTGTGTGTGTGTGTTATATATAAGCACACACACACACAGTATAACAAAGTCCATGGCAATCACGTTGAATAGCGCGGCATTGATTGAAACATACTTAAAAGCTTTGAAAAAAAAAAATCTCCCAAAACCTTTGACCTTATTTGAAAGGTCTCAATGAAGGTCAAAAGTGAAATCAGATCATTTTCTCGAGTTCATGCATTTTTTTTATTTTTTTTATATCCATCTCCAGAGTAGTGCCTCACAAGCCATGAACGTCACGGCTTGTCATGCGGGCATTTCAAACAACATGAGGAAAGCTGCCAGTTCTGTCAGTCGGCTGTTGTTTTGCATTGCCCATGATTGTGTGTGCATGGCTTAGCTCATCTACTGGAGCAGTGACTTCATTTCTGGCCCGCTGCTATCAGGTGTAAATGCCACCGCCAAGTGAGGTCTCTGAAAGACACACACACACACATACACACACACACACACAGACACACACAACACACTGAGTGTCTGCATTGTGTCTACGTTGCGGAAGAGTGTGGTCAGAAAAGATATGAAGGGGTTATAAATACCAATCAGATGTGCTGTCGAAGAAGGTGTCCAAATGCTCAAAACCCAAAATAAAATCATCAATGCAGCGAGCTTGTGTTTGGAGCGAGTGCTCAATGTCAAGGTCGAAGATGAGACCTCTGCGTTCTTTAGTGCCCCCACGTGGCTGCCTGTGGTAGGTGCAAAACATCACTCTCCTCCAGGTTCTGGTAAAGGTCTGAAGAAATGGGGTCCAACTTGGAGATATGATACTCGTTTTTGATACAGCTTGTCCTCGTCAGGGTCAAGGAGGAGATGGAACCTATCCCAGTTGACTCTGGGCCTGAAGTGGATGAGTCCCCGGACTGGTCGCCAACCAATCACAGGACGCATACAGACAACCAACGCTTTACACTCACACCTTCGGCGGGGCCCTTCAAAAGTCTTCAATGACATTAAATCTCAATTTGAATGGAAACTACTCACTATTTTTTTTCCCCCAAAGCGATCAACATCTTAGTTCTTTGCCATATATATATATATATATATATATATATATTTTTTTTTTTTTCAAGGGGACATAAAACCCGCAAGTCAAATCGGGCATCAATGACCAAGTTAGTCATCAACTTTGTGGTTCAAGGTGCACACCAATGAGCTATGACATTGCCCCTGGGCCGCGCTTGGACAGCTGAGCATACGTACGACATGCAGGGCATTCGATGGCAGCGCAAATTAAAACGTGCATCATTCAGGATCCATTCCTTTCAAGTATGTCCACGAGTTATATTTGTTTCATCAATCAAATGACATTGGCTGATTTCACAATTGAACCCACACCGCTTGCGCCACGACGCCAACAGTGAGCAATTTACGAACAATAATACAATCTTCAAATTTATTATTTAGTGAAAGCAAAGGAGTCAAAACTCCAAACCTTTTTTGGGGGGCAGGTGGGGTTTGTTTGTCCACAAGTCACTGATGGCGTCGTGGTGAACTCACCTGACCCGTGTGCGGACGGCGTGGGATCGGTTACCACTCAGTGATGGTGTGGATGTGGGGGTGTTTTTACATGTGCCCTGCCATTGAAAAAAAAAAGAGATCACATTTTTTCCAGTATTTTTAGTCCTTAAAAAGTTTTTAATATATTTTTAAAAGCAAAAACAAAAAAAAACCCCAAACATTTTTTAACACCCAATTATTATCCTCCGATTGCGATTAGCTGAAAATGACTGATCACACACGCACACCCACGTATTCACTCAGCGTGTCTGTTCTCGCCGGCATCTTGACAGGCATTTCCATCCTCTCCGAGCCTCACTTTGGAAAAATGATTTGGCAGAAGAGTTGACGGACAAACGTGGTCCAAACAAAGATAGTGGAGAGTCTGCGCTTTGGATGACTCACCTACGAGTTATGCGGGAGAAAGTTCCTGGCGCCGTTCCCAAAAAGTCACATTATTTGGGCGTGAGGGCTCCAGACAAACAGGGCGGGAGGGCGGCCAAACAGGATGAAAGCTGCGCAGAGCCAGGTCACAAGTGATGAAAGTCACGGAGGCCTGTTTGTGTTTGTGTGTGCGTGTCGTGTATGTGTTTGGATGGCGGGGTGGCGGCCTATTAAGGCTGGCTTGTCGGGGTTTATAAATTTGATCCCTGCAGGTTGCACTGCAGCTTCCTCCTCACCCGGATCTTGTAAGTCTGCTCCATTTTCAGTATCGTGTCTCATCAGAATGAGCAGATCGAATTTGGAATTTGTTATAAATTGTTATCTTACACGTTAATGGAACAACCAAAGGGTTTCGCCGCGACACCTTCTAACTCGTTTCCTTCCTCTCTCTTGTAGCTGAAGTGCTCTTTCTACTCGCGTCGTCTTCAGACCTCTTTGGAGTCAAACGCGCTGGTAAATGATCCTCCACATCTCATTGCTTTGACTCCACTATTCATTCTCAAAATGATGATTCCAAATTATGAAAAAAAAGATGATCATTGTCCCATGATTTTCACCCATTTGATTTGTCATTGTTAAAAAAAATACAAAAAACGCTGCGCTTAGGATGTTTTTTTGGAGGGAGGGATGTCCTCATCCTCTGCATTTTTACAGCGCAACCATGGGGGACGCAGAGATGTCAGCGTACGGCACAGCCGCCCCGTACCTGCGGAAGTCGGAGAAGGAGCGCATGGAGGCTTCCACTCGTCCCTTCGACATAAAGAAGGAATGTTTCGTCCCCGACGCGGTGGAAGAATTTGTGAAGGCTTCCATCACAAGTCGAGATGGGGACAGCGTCACTGTGCAAACGCAAAACGGAAAGGTCAGTGGTCCGCCGGCTTGCAGACAGCAACGCCAAACAGAAAGTACACTATGGGATCAATGGCTATTCCGACTGAATCGTTCTGGTGAGACGGCGATTCACGAAAGCTAAACGTGCATGAATTACCCGGCATGCGTCGATGTTTTGCCTTTGTGGTTCCCGGGACGTTTCTTGGTTGGCCTAAAAACAGCGAGGAGGACAGATTCAAGTTAGACTTTCAAAATAAAGTGGATTCTGGTCATAGTCCAAGTACTATTCGCGACACTTTTGATTGTAAATTCAAAACTCGATTAAAAAAAAAACATTTGTTGACAGTTCAACGGCAATGCTGCACTCATGTTCCGTAGACGGTGACCGTCAAAGACTCCCAGATTCTGCAACAGAACCCTCCAAAATTTGACAAGATTGAAGACATGGCGATGTTGACTTTTCTCCATGAGCCGGCTGTGCTGTTTAACCTCAAAGAGCGTTATGCGGCATGGATGATCTACGTGAGTACAACCGCAGTCGAAACCAGTTCAATTTGCCATTGTCCATACAAACAAGTGATGAGGACACAAAGGTCCGCAAGGAATTTGAGATACAAGTATTCTCAAAAGAAAGCGCTACGGTCAAACCTCACTCTGACGCCGGTCACCTTTCAACCTTTCATGACTTCGCGGAGCTTTTTTTTTTTTCCACCCTCTTTTGACAGTGCACTGTTTTCTGCTTCCTGGTTGTCAAAGTCCACAGTCTGTGCACCACATCTCAGCACAGCTTGCCAAATTAACGTTTGCAACAAAAACAGGTTGTGAGCTTTGGTTTCATTCTGCAGCACGCTATTGTAAAAAAATAAAGCCGACTGAAACTGTGGTGATTCGAAGTACAACAATGTACCTTTCTCCATGATGGTAAAATGACGACGTGATTTAGGTTATTGTGCCCCCTGCTGTTACATTTGAGGGTTGCATTGAGTGTCAGGAAGTGGGCCATGTGGATCAGGGGTGAGGTGGGTTTGAGGAAAGAAACAAAAGCTTCGATTTCTTTTCATGACTCCTAAATTTCGCCTATCGCGGCTTCTTATCGGAACGTAACCCCCGCGACAAATGAGGTTCGCCGTAAAAAAAAAAGTGATTTCCACTGTGTTTTTTTTCTCTCCTTGTGACAGACCTACTCGGGGCTGTTCTGCGTCACGGTCAATCCCTACAAGTGGCTGCCGGTCTACAACCAAGAGGTGGTTGTTGCCTACAGGGGAAAGAAGAGGAGCGAAGCTCCTCCCCACATCTTCTCCATCTCTGACAACGCCTACCAGTACATGCTGGCAGGTAGCAACTGTCAAGCAATCTTAAGCCAAAACGCAGTTTGGCCAAATTTTAAGACTAACAACGTGAATTTTTTTTTTTTTTTTTTTTGGTAGATCGTGAAAGTCAGTCCATTTTGATCACGTAAGTATTTCACTCATTTTTCTGTCCATTTTGACTCAATGCAGGAGCGATATCGAGACATCTGCCCTTAAATTGCTCAGTTCTGAGTGACGCTCTGAGAGAGGTATTCACGTAACAAGATATATTTGGGTCGCTGATGGCGTAGTGGTAAACTGGCCTGACTTGTGCGCGGGCAGCGTGGGGATCGGTTCCCGCTCAGTGACGGTGTGAACGGTCGCTTCTCTCTTCATGTGCCCTGTGACTGGCTGGCGACCAGTTCAGGGTGTAGTCTGTCTCCCGCCCGAAGTCAGCGGGGAGAGGTTCCCGCAACTCCCCATGACCCTTTTCAGGATAAGCGCTGTTGAAAATGGACAGATGGGGGAGGGGGGGGATATGACACTCCCACATTGAACACATCTTGTTGAATAAATATCTCCTGAAAATCCACAAGTAGCCAACCGGAATTGAGAACTATTAGCTTGTATTTCATCTCCTACGAGTTGCGTTGTGGATGTATTCCCAATCATGTGCACGGTGAGTTTCCAAGACGTGTTGTGCGTTGACTGACAACTCACTTTGTGATTACAGCGGAGAATCTGGTGCCGGAAAGACTGTGAATACAAAGCGCGTCATCCAGTATTTTGCAAGCATCGCGGCTGGAAGCGTGAAGAAAGATCCCAATGCCAAAGACAAGGTACACGAATGATGATGTGACGCAGGTTTGCGACGTTTGCTAAACAGACATCTATTAACATGGTACATCGGACAATGCGGTGTTAGTCAGCCCGAGGAAGTCGACTGTAGGCGTTAAACACGTGGACAAACTTATCATTCAAAAATAAGAACAGGAATGAGGGATAAAAATGCAATGAAAATCAGACGCTGCTTTTGAATTGTGGTTCTTTTCAAATCGAAACTCATGAACAACAATAACGGTATCCCAGCAGCACAAATGCACGAAAATCAGATGTCGCTTTCCAATTGTGTCCCCCAACAGAATGAGTTTGAAAATCAAACTCACGAAAGGGAGCGGCGACAAAAAAGATGGCGGCCTTCATATTTTGGGGCAATTGCCGCAATCCAGCAATTTTTGGAACTCTTAATACGCCGTGTGGTTATTTTGACCCAGTCTTGATGAGCAAACTGCTGCAGATGCCTCAGGTTTGGAAGGGTGCTTTTAGATAGATCGAGAGGTGGATACTTTGCGATAGATAGACAGGCTAGAACAGAACAGAGGGCATTTATTTGGGGTTGCACAGCCGCACCCTCGGGTAGATAGAGGGTGTGCACATTTGTTATTTGTTACATCATCTCAGCTGTTTTTTTTTTTTTTTGTTTGTTTTTTTTTGAACAGGGGTGTGTAGACTTTTTCATCCACTGTTGAGAGAAAGATAGAAGGTGTCTTTTTTCCAACAAAGCCAATATTTCTTTCCAACAGGGGACCCTGGAGGATCAAATCATCCAGGCTAACCCCGCCCTGGAGGCTTTTGGAAATGCCAAAACGATTCGGAATGACAACTCTTCGAGATTTGTAAGTTGTGATTTTCGGTTGTTTCGACACATTGCCGCAATATCCGATTGGATGTCGAGAGGTCTTCACCAGTCCCAACTCCATCCGCCAGGGCAAATTCATCCGGATTCACTTTGACACCCGAGGAAAGTTGGCTTCTGCTGATATTGAAACATGTAAGAAGAAAACGCCTGCTCAAGACAGACGCATTTTGCTCGGGTGCCACCTCTCACGAATGCCCATCTAGCCAAAGGCATCACAATCTCCCTTTCGACCCGGCAGATCTTCTGGAAAAATCTCGAGTCACCTTCCAGCTGAAGGCCGAGCGAGATTACCACATCTTTTACCAGATTCTGTCCAACAAGAAGCCAGAAATTCTGGGTGAGTTTTGCGTGGCCGATGAACGCGAGCGGTCCAACCGGTGTGTCGGTTTTCTTTTCTGCACCCTGGTCGCCAGCCGTCTTAACGCTTGTGCCCTTGTCTCTCGCTCCTTCTCATTCAGAGATGCTGCTGATCACAAACAATCCTTACGACTACGCCTTCATCTCACAGGGGGAAACACAAGTGGCCTCCATAGACGATGCAGACGAACTGATGGCGACAGATGTCGGGCTTTGACTTTTTAAATTTATTTATTTATTTATTTTAAGCTCAAGGATGTCGACTTTACATTGTATAAATAGTGACCCGTCATGAAAAGATTGTGCGATCTTCTCTTTGACAGAACGCATTTGACGTGTTGGGCTTCACACAAGAGGAAAAGAACTCGGTGTACAAGTTGACGGGCGCCATCATGCACTACGGCAACATGAAGTTTAAACAGAAGCAGCGGGAGGAGCAGGCAGAGGCCGACGGCACCGAAGGTCGGAGCCATCCTGCGTCAAGTCGGCTTAATCTCACTGCGCAAGTAAGGTTTCATTTCGTTTTCGTCTTCAGATGCTGACAAAGCAGCTTACCTGATGGGCCTGAACTCTGCTGACCTGGTCAAGGGTCTCTGTCATCCGAGAGTGAAAGTGGGGAACGAGTGGGTCACCAAGGGACAAAATGTTGCCCAGGTGAGAAAGGGAGAAATTCTACTTGTTCTGGTGTGTGCTTTTTTTTTTTTTTCTTCGAATGGAGCTTGTTCTGATTCCAAATTGTACGAGTCAAAATGCCGTGGCTGGTAGGTGTTTATTGTTGATGATTGTTGCCGTCTTGAAGGTGTACTATGCTGTCGGAGCTCTCTCCAAAGCCGTTTATGAGAAGATGTTTCTGTGGATGGTGATCAGAATCAACCAGTCATTGGAGACCAAGCAGCCTCGCCAGTACTTCATTGGCGTTCTGGATATTGCTGGATTTGAGATCTTTGATGTGAGCTCTGTCTGGTAGTGCTTGAGACAAGATGACAAGTGTTCAATGTACACAATGAAGACGTGGGTGAGGAAATTCACGTCGATCCGCTTTCCGTTTCAGTTCAACACCTTCGAGCAGCTGTGCATCAACTTCACCAATGAAAAACTGCAACAGTTTTTCAACCACCACATGTTTGTGCTGGAGCAGGAGGAGTACAAGAAGGAGGGCATCGAATGGACTTTCATCGACTTTGGCATGGACTTGCAGGCCTGCATTGACCTGATTGAAAAGGTGAGAGACGCTTTTTGGGAGCAGATGCGACTGATCAGACGCACAAAACTCCAATCTAATGCTCCCTCCCCCTCAGCCCATGGGCATCATGTCCATCCTTGAGGAGGAGTGCATGTTCCCCAAAGCCAGCGACGCCACCTTTAAAGCGAAGCTCTACGACAACCACTTGGGAAAATCTGGCAACTTCCAGAAGCCCAGAATCGTCAAAGGGAAACCGGAGGCCCATTTTGCCTTGATGCACTACGCCGGGACTGTTGATTACAACATCAACAACTGGCTGGTGAAGAACAAGGATCCCCTGAACGAGACCGTCGTTGGACTTTACCAGAAGTCGAATCTCAAACTATTGTCGATACTCTTTGCAAATTACGCTGGAGCAGATTCAGGTACCAGTGAGTGGATTTTTGAATTGATCAAACTAGAACGTTCTGTTATCTGGTTCTAATTTGCTCTGAACAGCTATGGAAGCTGGTGAAGGCAAGAAGGAGAAGAAGAGAAAGGGTTCATCTTTCCAGACTGTTTCTGCCCTTCACAGGGTATTTTTCTTTTCTTTCTGTTTTGGTCTCACTTTGGTCCTTAATAATCATTCGACATGAAAACCACTCATGGCTATAATCCATCACGAATTCATCCACATGAACAGGAGAATCTGAACAAGCTGATGACCAACCTGAGGTCTACTCACCCCCACTTTGTGCGCTGCATCATCCCCAACGAGACCAAGACTCCTGGAGCCATGGAAAACCCGCTGGTGATGCACCAGCTGCGCTGTAACGGCGTGCTGGAAGGCATCCGGATCTGCAGAAAGGGCTTCCCCAACAGGATCCTCTACGGAGATTTCAAACAGAGGTGGAAAGACACCATACACATACTGTATTTTTATACCCAAACATGGATTCACATTTTTTTTTCTTGAAGTATGAGTTGTAAAATAGGTATGGTCTAGATTATTAATTCAGATGATGATTGTTGGATTATCTTTGGTAAAATGTGCTTGGTCAGAATTTATGGTCACCGGTGTTGCATTTACTTCAACAATTCGGATGTGAGATGCGTCGGGAAGGAAAGTGAGAGCTTCATCTGCAAAATGATTCATTAAGAAAAGAAGCAGGTTAAATATTTTAGCCTTACGACACTACCATATTTACAGTGTTTCAACGATCAGAACAGAGGCTAAAATCCAAATGCAGATGTGATATTTTTTTGCGGCAGAACGGTGGCCGATGGGGCAGAACACCCAGATCACCGTTGTGGCTGCGAGGTTCATATTCGTGATATATATCGCAATGGAGTGGCCTAGTTTTCAGCAAAATCAATTGGTGATGAATGCTGATGACTGTAACAGACCCCATTTGATCACCCGAGGTATCGCATTTTGAATCCTGCTGCCATCCCGGAAGGACAGTTCATTGACAGCAGGAAGGGAGCCGAGAAGCTCCTTGCTTCACTGGATATTGATCACAACCAATACAAGTTTGGTCATACGAAGGTGCTGCTTCTCGTCCTTCTTGTTCTGAAGGATCATGAAACATGATTTCTCTGGGTCAAGCGGAAATAACATGAATGTCCATTCTGACACCGACAGGTGTTCTTTAAAGCCGGATTGCTCGGCCTACTTGAGGAAATGAGAGATGAGCGTCTCTCCAAAATCATCACTGCCATCCAAGCCAGATCTCGCGGGCTTTTGTCTCGTGTTGAGTACCAGAAGATGGTGGAGCGCAGGTATCTTCAGCGTTTGCACAGTAGACAGTAGAAATATTTGTGTGCATCCAACCAGATGAATATAAAATATCAGAGTGTTTGATTTCACGTAGTATTAACTCTGCTTCAATTCAGGGATGCCCTCTTAGTGATCCAGTGGAATATCCGTTCGTTCATGGGGGTGAAAAATTGGCCCTGGATGAAGCTGTATTTCAAGATCAAACCGCTTTTAAGATCTGCGGAAGCAGAAAAGGAAATGGCCAACATGAAGGAAGAATTCCTGAAGTTGAAAGAAGCTTACGCCAAGTCTGAGGCGCGAAGAAAGGAATTGGAGGAGAAAATGGTTTCTCTTCTCCAAGAGAAGAATGACCTGCAGCTTCAAGTTCAAGCAGTGAGTCCCACAAAGGTAGCATAGGAAACATTCCTGAACGTTGTTGCTCATAAACAATTATCACTTGGCAGGAGCAAGATAATCTTTGCGACGCTGAGGAAAGATGCGAGGGGCTGATCAAAAACAAAATCCAAATGGAAGCAAAAGCCAAAGAGTTAACTGAACGACTGGAGGATGAGGAGGAGATGAATGCTGAACTAACAGCAAAGAAGAGGAAGCTGGAGGACGAGTGCTCTGAGCTGAAGAAGGACATTGACGACTTGGAGTTAACGCTGGCTAAAGTGGAGAAGGAGAAACACGCCACGGAAAACAAGGTGTGACGACTGCTTGCTTCCTGTTGTGTCCTCGTTCATGAATAGGAATGAGCACCACACTTCCTGATGAATTGTCACGATGATTCCAGGTCAAGAACCTGGTCGAAGAAATGGCAGCTTTGGAGGAAATCATCGCCAAGCTGACCAAGGAGAAGAAGGCCTTGCAAGAAGCTCATCAGCAAACGCTGGATGACCTTCAGAGTGAAGAAGACAAAGTCAACTCTCTGACCAAGGCCAAGTCAAAACTTGAGCAGCAAGTGGATGACGTATGTCTTTCAAATGTTGTCATTTTCTATTCGTGATACTGCAGGTATCAACGTCTTGTTATTTTCATGTTGGATCCCCCTCCCCGGTCAAGCTTGAAGGGTCTCTTGAGCAAGAGAAGAAGGTTCGAATGGACCTTGAGAGAGCAAAGCGGAAGCTAGAGGGAGACTTAAAGTTGACCCAAGAAACTCTTATGGACCTGGAAAATGACAAACAGCAGCTGGATGACCGTTTGAAAAAGTAAACATCTATTTGGCTGATCAAAGTCATCAAGAAGGAGCCTTCATAATAATCCTTTTTATGTTTTAGGAAAGACTTTGAAATTAGTCAGCTGAACGGGAAAATTGAAGATGAGCAAGCCATAATAATGCAGCTGCAGAAGAAGCTGAAAGAGCTGCAGGTCAAAAAAAAAATCACAGACATAAAAAAAGAAGAATTGAAATCGACTGCTAAATATTTCACTGTTGGCAGGCCCGCGTCGAGGAGCTGGAGGAAGAGCTGGAGGCAGAGCGAGCCGCCCGGGCCAAGGTGGAAAAGCAGAGAGCGGACTTGGCCAGGGAGCTGGAGGAGATCAGCGAGAGGCTGGAGGAGGCCGGCGGAGCAACATCGGCCCAGATCGAGATGAACAAGAAGAGGGAGGCCGAGTTCCAGAAACTCCGCAGGGACCTGGAAGAGGCCACCCTGCAGCACGAAGCCACCGCGGCCACGCTGAGAAAGAAACAAGCCGACAGCGTTGCTGACCTGGGGGAGCAGATTGACAACTTGCAAAGAGTCAAGCAGAAACTGGAGAAGGAGAAGAGCGAACTCAGGCTGGAACTGGACGACGTCGTCTCCAACATGGAACACGTTGTCAAGTCCAAGGTCAAGTCGTGTTTCCACAGTAACAGAGCCGACGGCATGTTTATTGAATACTGGGGATTTGCAACCTTGAACATCGGATACACCGAGTAGAACATAAAAATTTGTCAGATGACTATTGTCTGCACTTTTTTCTGGGGGGGGGGGGGACACTGAACGAACAGCTAAAGACAATGATTGTGTCCTGCGGTATTGTATGTTCTTCTTTCAGGTTTATTTGGAGAAGACGAACAGAACTTTGGAGGATCAAATGAATGAATACAGGAATAAGTGTGACGAACATCAAAGATCCCTGAATGACTTTAGCACACAGAAAGCGAAGCTTCAAGCTGAGAATGGTCAGTCAAGCTACACAGGAAAAGGTGGAACTTGTTGAATACGGAATGAAGAAATGCATCCACCTTTTCCAGATGAGTATTTCAGACAGCTCGAGGAGAAAGAAGCTCTCATTTCCCAGCTGACAAGAGGAAAGAATTCTTACAACCAGCAACTGGAAGATCTGAAACGACAACTGGAGGAAGAAATAAAGGTTAGAGTAGACCACATTTCAATCATGTCGCTGTGTGTCTCGGAAGGAACCCATATGAAACGGTCGACTCGTTTTAGGCCAAGAACGCGTTAGCCCACGCCGTGCAGTCCTCTCGCCACGACTGCGACCTGCTCAGAGAGCAGTACGAGGAGGAGCAGGAGGCCAAGGCCGAACTGCAGCGCGGCATGTCCAAGGCCAACTCGGAGGTGGCTCAGTGGAGGACCAAGTATGAAACCGATGCCATCCAGAGGACTGAAGAGCTGGAAGAGGCCAAGTAAGCTCAATACACCAAATACATCACTTGAACATGCCACAGCAACTCCAAAACTGCCAGCAATGTCTTCCCACCATATCGATTATAAAACAATCAACATGAATATGCAGGAAGAAGCTGGCGCAGCGCCTGCAGGATGCCGAGGAGGCCGTGGAAGCAGTGAATGCAAAATGTTCCTCTCTGGAGAAGACCAAACACAGACTGCAGAATGAGATCGAAGACCTCATGGTGGACGTGGAGAGGTCCAACGCCGCTGCCGCTGCTCTGGACAAGAAGCAAAGAAACTTTGACAAGGTCAGTATCAACCATGCCAGTATCGGTTTAATGCTGCTTAATTAGGGCCAATAAAATGGTGGAATTTCGTATCTTATGATGGGGAGACTTAAACATTGGCAATGAAAAGTATGTGAACCCTCTAGGCTTGTAAACAATTTAGATTTCTGTGTAAAGTCACAAAATCGACAAAAAGCCTGCTTCAACTTTGAAAATCAAACCACATTTTACAACCAATTTATCCAGTCATCCGGGTCATTCCAAATGGGGTTCGTACTTTTTCTAGCAACCGTAAGTATCGATTGCAATTCTTGAACTTCAGCGTTACATCTGAATTCTCAGGTGCTGTCCGAGTGGAAACAGAAGTATGAGGAGTCTCAGTGTGAGCTGGAGGGCTCCCAGAAAGATGCCCGAAGTTTGAGCACTGAGCTTTTCAAGTTGAAGAATTCCTACGAAGAGTGCCTCGATCAACTAGAAACCGTCAAGCGAGAGAACAAGAATTTACAGGGTAACGGAGGGAACTGACTTGGCACAGATGGCATTTCATTGAGTGATGACGTAACCAATTCATTGTCAATATTTCCCCAAAAAATAGAGGAGATCTCTGACCTCACTGAGCAACTTAGTGAGGGAGGAAAGGCTATTCATGAGCTGGAGAAAATTCGGAAACAGCTGGAGCAAGAAAAGGGTGAAATTCAGTCCGGTCTTGAGGAAGCCGAGGTACAAGCGCATCGAAACTTTCGTTGGTTTGTGGTGTTTCCAGCCATTACGCAGATAATTCAACAAGTTGGCATCCATCGCAGGCCTCCTTGGAGCATGAGGAGGGCAAGATTCTGAGAGCCCAGCTTGAGTTCAACCAGATCAAGGCGGAGATGGAGCGCAAGCTGGCCGAGAAGGACGAGGAGATGGAGCAGTGCAAGAGGAACATGCAGAGGACCATTGAAACCCTGCAGAGTTCTCTGGAAGCCGAGTGTCGGAGCAGGAACGAGGCCCTTCGTTTGAAGAAGAAGATGGAGGGAGACCTCAACGAGATGGAGATTCAGCTCAGTCAGGCCAACAGGCAGGCGGCTGAGGCCCAGAAGCAACTCAAATCTGTTCACGCACATCTCAAGGTAATCTGCAGAAAAGACGCTCTCGATACAACATCCTGTGGATTACAGACCGGTTCCTCAAAATCATATGGTTTGATGTCATCATATGAAGGACTGCCAACTTCAGCTGGACGACTCCGTCCGTGCCAACGACGATCTCAAAGAGAACATCGCCATTGTGGAGAGACGTAACAGCCTCATGCAGGCTGAGCTGGAGGAACTGAGGGCCGCTCTCGAGCAAACCGAAAGGAGTCGCAAACTTGCTGAGCAGGAGTTGCTGGATGTCACGGAGAGGGTGCAGCTACTGCACTCGCAGGTGAGGGACCACTATTATTGCATAGCCCAAGAGCAGAGAGGTTGACAAAAATGTGCATTTCTCAAAGCCTCTTAAAGTGTACATCACAAGTGGTTAGCGCAGTAAAATCAAAGGCCTTCTCCTATTTAGAACACCGCTCTGATAAACCAAAAGAAAAAACTGGAGGCAGACACTTCCCAGCTTCAGACAGAAGTCGAAGACGCTGTCCAGGAGTGCAGGAACGCGGAGGAGAAGGCCAAGAAGGCCATCACAGATGCCGCCATGATGGCGGAGGAGCTGAAGAAAGAGCAGGACACTAGCGCCCACCTGGAGCGTATGAAGAAGAACATGGAGCAAACCATCAAAGACCTGCAGCACCGTCTGGATGAAGCTGAACAAATCGCAATGAAGGGAGGGAAGAAACAAATGCAGAAACTGGAGGCCAGGGTAAGTGTATGTCTTCATGACAAATATTTTTGTCTTATTGGCAATGAGTGAGGAGCTGCAAATGACTGAAAATGATTGGCCGACTTTTCGCAACGTTATTGCAACCAAATTGTGTTCAAACTAGTTTTGGTATGTTTCCATGTTTTTTTGTTTTTTGTTCTCGGTTAGGTTAAGGAGCTGGAGAGTGAGGTAGAAATGGAACAAAAGAGGAGCAGTGAAGCTGTGAAGGGAGTGCGCAAATATGAACGCCGTATCAAGGAACTCACCTATCAGGTTTGATGCTTGAGGCACTTATCTTGACCGCAGACACACTCTCTTTCTAACTGATTTAAACCCTGCTCGGATTTTGACAGACGGAGGAAGACCGCAAAAACATTGCCCGTCTCCAAGATTTGGTAGACAAGCTGCAACTGAAAGTTAAAGCCTACAAGAGATCTACTGAGGAGGCTGTATGTGTGAATACTTTCGAAGCAAACAGGGTCTCCTATCCCCACCACCAGCCCCATGACTGTCTCTTCTCCGATGCGATTTAAAACAGGAAGAACAGGCTAATGTTCATCTGGGCAAGTTCCGGAAGCTGCAGCATGAACTGGATGAAGCCGAAGAACGTGCTGACGTTGCAGAGTCCCAGGTCAACAAGCTGCGCGCCAAGAGCCGTGACGCCGGCTCCAAGGTTGGAGCGTGATGCACCCGGCCGCAGATACGCCACCTGACCTTGACACACGCCGCGCTCTCTCGCTGACCGCGTTTAATCTCCATGCTGCTTTGAAACTGAGGCGTTACTACTTGTCCAAGCTTGCCATTTCAGCACCTCAGATGATCGTCGCCAACTGTTCAGTTTATTGCTTACTGGCACCTTAACCTGAAGCTCTAAAAGCTGTTTCTTTTGTCTCCCCGCCGACCCCCATCCCCAACTCTCCCAGCTGCAACAGAAAGGCTTTGAGGAGGAGTGACGTTTGCAGTCTCCAGAAATATCTTTGGTTTCCTGTGTGAAGTAGATCCCCTCAATCATCACGATTCACTGATAGCTGTAGTGTCTAATAAAAGCTCATCAAGCATTGCCCCCCCCTTGTATTTGTCTCCCCCTTCCTCGCACTCTCCCCCCCCCCCCCCACCGCTCGATACGAAAGATGATGATGTATGGCATTAAAGAAGACATTTCATGGATTTGAGGATATTACCAAAAGGAAAAAAAGAGGAAAAAAACTCTGTTGCCTTTATCCCCCAATACACCAACTCAAGAACTCCAAACCTCTACAGTACAATCGCTTTTTATCAGATGAAAAATTTTAATAAATGAATAACAGTACACACAACGGTTACTAATGCTCCTAGCTGTCTTTTTAGGCCAAGTTACACATAATACAATTACTCTGAAATGCCCCCCCCCCCAAAAAAAAACTCTGCAAAGCTGGGGTGGTTGAAATAGCCTCATAAAGTCTTTTTTTTTCCTTGCAAAGCACACTTAAAAGTGAATTTTCAATCACGGTCCGATATCGTCCTCCAGCATGAATCAAGCTTCAGACACACATAGAGCTGAATAGATTTGAAGTGATCGTATCTGAACCAATGAGAAATTTTATCTATCTATCTATCCCTAGTAGTTGTGTATTTAATAACAAGGACCCTCATTTTGAGGTGCCCTATAGACCATTCACAACATAACCCATTCATCTTTGCGTCTTTGACAATTTACTGTTTTGAAATGTTTCGAAAAAAAAAATGAATTGGCCACAAGGCAAAAAAAAAAAAAAAAGACCCCCTGTAATTGTTGGCACAACAGGCTCTGCAAGTCAGATGTAATTTGTACAATCTCGGCATGTGTGGTCATTGCTCGTCTTGCGCCTCACAAACGGCAACTTACGTTGTGGATCATGGGGGCATTCGGTTTTGCTTCAGAAGGGTCGAAATGTTGGATCGGTTTTTGTTACATTAAATAAGACCCCGATGGAAAAAAACACGGCACTCACTCAGTTTTGGGTGTCGCGACGCCTGAGTAAGGGGAAGCGCAAATCTCCCGGTCTTAAAATAGAGTTAATGAAATCCCGTCTGCGAGAGCCTCAAGGTCAACAATAAGGCACACGTAAGCCCCAGCAGCTGCTCAGTGAATCCCTGCTAAAGTCTGCCCCTTTCTCCAAATGGCTCTGACGGCGGATTTCAGCGAATGCATTTGTGTTTCTACATTTACTCCTCATAATCATACGATGATTATTTAAATGATTTGTTTGTTTGTTTTTTTTGCTTGTGTCTTTACCAACAAGTTAAACCGTTATGACTTGGATGAAGCTATCGTTCTCTTCTTATATTTTAGGAGTGTTATTTTTTTTTTTTCTTTCTCGTAAACACTGCTGTCACGTTGGAGTCCTTTTAAATTAAGACTGACTCATGATTGGATTGCGCAGGCAGGAGAAGGGTGGCCCCAGACGCGCTCGGGTTGAAATTCTGGGAGCCGTCGGTCTTCTCTTCTTACAAAACACGTCCTCGATACCCCGAGGAGACAATCATGTGTCTTAAGAGCTAACGAAAGGAAATTCACACGTCCCCATAAAGAGGCGAAGAACATGCGTTAAGGATTAACGGCATTACGTGCCTTGGCCCGAGGGAAGAACACTGACACAAGAAGTAGCAGGAGATAATCTTCACACCTCGGAAATGAGACATCTTTAGGGGGTGTATAATCGTCGGTCATATGCCATTCGGTGGCATTGTGATTTTCGAGCCTTATTTCTCATCAAATGACACCCTCCTCACCTTCCGTACAAAACCACAAGTGGTGTACAATGAAAGGTCCAAACATTGAGAGGGAAGCCAGCAAAACTGAAAATGCAATAACAACACTGTGAAGGAAATAAAAAGCACCATCATGAGCATCGTGCAGCTGCTCTACACCGAACACCTCCACTTCTTGCGGGCTGCACCTGCAGCTTCTCGCGTTGCCCCGTTTGTAAATGTGTTAGGGCATAAACAAGGTCCCATATGTTGTCTCCTTAAATGAGAAGAAGTTTGACCTATGATCAGACATATCTTCACTTGGTCTTTAGCGGCTGCAAAGAATTTCTCGCTTCCATTTGGCAACCTGACGCCGGCTGTCGCTAAGAGGGCCGCCCGCTTGTCAGCGGCTGTTGACCTTCTTTTTATCTCTGAACCCCTGAATGGACTGTCATCACCGGTGCTTAGGACTGTCTGCCCAATCCCTGTTATAGCACACGTCGAGGATGCGGGCAAGTTTAAAAAAATGGTTCGATAAACCGTAAGAGAGTTTTTGTTTTGTTGCAGGCGGGGTTTTTGGTTTTGGTTTTGTTTTTTGTTTTTTTATTTCAAAGTCAAAAGACAATTCCAAGGCAATTGTGAAATGATCCAAAAACACCATCGGCGTCCGTATTGGATCGAGAATTTAGAGTCTGACATCGTACAGATACTACAAGGCTGTAACGGGCCATCGTTGTTGCTTAGGCGATGTACTGTACATGCTCACGCAATCCAGTTTTCACCACAACCGAGTCCCTTTCGTTCACTTTGAGTACACGTTTAGATCGGAGTGACATCCATCCCTCCATCTATCCATCCATCCATCCAGACGTTCACATGCAGACGATCACCTTGCGGCAACAGATGCCGCCTGAACGTCAGAAATAACAGTTTCTTTCCATTTTTAGCTCAAAGAGAGCAATTCTCAAGTGTTTGCAGTTTTAGGTTTCAAAACGCTGCCATGCACAATTGAACGGCCAAGCCAACGATGCTGCGCATCCTGTTCCTAAACACAGTCAAGTAAGTACATGAAGTAAACCACAAGCGCATGTCCGGTTCTCAAGGTTTGAGTCGAGAAAAAAGAAAATAGACGCAAAAAAAATGAGTGAAGGAGAGCCCGCTGAAGCGCTTTCTCTCTCTCTCTCTCTCTCTCTCTCTCTCTCTCTCTCTCTCTCTCGCAGGCTCTTGGTCAGGGAGTGGCATTTTGACTGGAGCACAAAAATGCGAAGAGGAACAGTACATACCTGCCACTCTCAGTGTATTTATGTGAAACGGGCATTTGTGTGGCCAACGTGTGCTGCTTGCTGTTGATCCTCGATGCGGGCAAAGCCTCTGTGGCTGCTCTCCTCAATCAGTGCGAGGTTTTAAGAGAGCATTTGACACAGTTATCTTTGTCCTCAAAGACACAATGCCACGTCAACAGGGCTGTCGGGGACCAGTTTTGGAATGCGAGACGGCTACTCTATTGTGACCTTGGCATTACAGTTGGAGTCGGTCATACCGGCGCGGCCCGCTGTTGTTTGCCATCATTACGGCCTTTCGGTGAATCTCAGGCATGTCTCCTGCTGAAGATCTTTGTCTGTGTGGCCTCACACTTGTCGCCTGGATAATCTCACAAAGCAACGTTCTTTATTTAGACCTCCCCACTTAGCGTCTCATGCTGTTTATATTGCAGCAGCGGCCCTTCGATCCGATGATAACTCACCCCAACATGTTACAGAGGCCACTCGAGCCGCCTGAGTAACCGAGACCCCTTCGGCGCACGGGACCTCATGCCAACGTGCCCTCGTTACTTCATGTGGCCTGCATTGTTGCCGAAAGAATACCAGTACAGTTATACATTTGATGACGCACCGACATGATTCCGCTTTACTCCAAATGAAAAGTAACACTATCATACAATAGCGCCGCCGCGTCGACAAGTCTTGAGGATGCTTGATTCTACCCAACATCCATTGTTCCCCGGCAGTAGTTGCTTGTTGGGATGACGACAAAAGAATTCCTCCCCCGGGGTCTATTTACGGATCGAGTCGTGTTTCCCTGGCTGCTTAAGGATACCTCGGATTAATCACCGCCCTGCAATGAGCTCCTAATATGGCCTGGTCAGGAGACCCCATCACTGATAAGACTCTGACCCGCCGATTTCTATATCGCTCTCTGTCAATCACTAACCCCTCCTTCACTGAGCCTCAAACTGACCAACCCAACTCTGACACAATGGCATTCTTGCTTCTAACAAGCATCCTCCATATATGGCGGAGGGGCTTCCTTTAAAAAGGGAACTGATTGCGAAACCCACAATAGGTCACCGTTCTATCACAAGGTAAGGTGTGCGCAACATTGGACTGTCATGGTGGTCACTGCCAGTCACTTCCAGCGTTGTCTTTCTCCACACAGGGCCGTTACACCTCAGTCTCCTCTGTAGGGAATTCTAAGGTAAGACTGAATCTTTGTCCGACATTTCTCGGGAATGCTCAACTGTATATTTTGCTTTCAAGCTTCGAAATGGGTGACGCCGCCATGAAAGAGTTTGGGGCAGCGGCCCCCTACCTGAGGAAATCGGATAAGGAGCGTCTGGAGGCTCAGACTCGTCAATTTGACATGAAGAAAGAATGCTTTGTTCCTGACACTGACGAGGAGTTTGTGAAGGCGTCCATCACCAGCCGTGACGGGGACAAAGTCACCGCTCAAACTGCAAAGGGGAAGGTCAGTGATGCTTCCTCACCAGAAGTGCAGAAAGCAACCTATTCGGTGATCTACAGAACATGAAAAGACGGGGACGCAGAACATTGCCCAATTCCGTACATTTGCCAGACGTTTGTGTGGACATGTATGTCATACAGCATACGGATAGAGATTCTCAAACTCTACAAGAGCACTAATGTTTAGTGAGTCTACTTCGACATAGTCTCCACTCTCAATAAAGCATTTCTTCAAAACGCATGAAAACATAGTCCAATAATTGCTTCCAGACAAGGAGCGTCTCACCTTAATCATGTCGATGTGCATGACTTGTACACTCAACAAGGAAAACACACTCGCGAAATAAAGTTGCAAACCGACGTGTACAAGCTGTTGCGACAATAGCGAGCCAGAAGTACAGCGACGGCCATCGTACGAGGGCATGCTTAATGGTATTTTCTCTTTGTACAGACGGTGACCGTGAAGGATTGTGACGTGCACCCTCAGAACCCGCCAAAGTTTGATAAAATTGAAGACATGGCCATGTTCACGTTCCTTCACGAGCCCGCGGTGCTGTTCAACCTCAAAGAGCGTTACGCGGCATGGATGATCTATGTGAGTCAAGGTCTTTCCAAACTGTGAATGATGGCGACTTGCAATTTTACAGGAAGCAGAGTTCAAGTGCCAATGATCTCAAGCATCTTTTTTCCGTCTTTGCCAGACCTACTCGGGGCTGTTCTGCGTCACGGTCAATCCC